GCCGCCGCCGCCGCGCCGCGCTGCCCTCCCCTCCCCTCCCTACCTGCTGCTCCGCGCGGGCGAAGGGGGCTTGAGGCGGTGCGGCCGGAGCCCCGGCTGCGGGTCGTTTGCCGTCATGTGAATATGCAGATTAATCGAGGGGGTTCGCGGCTGCCCGCTCAAAGCGGCGGCGGCGGCGGCGGCGGCGGCGGGCGCCGGGGCCGAAGGAGCGAGCCCGCTGTGCTTCCGCGGCGCGGGCTGCGCCGCATCGGGAGGGAAGGGCTCAGGGGTCTCCCGGTTTCCTCTCTGACACACGCTGCATCGAAGGAAGAAACGGTCTGAGCACCTCTGCAGCCAGGGAGCTCTACCCAGCTGAAACGCCTGTTAGCACCTTCTGACCTGCTTACAGGAGAGGCAGGGTGCTTTTATTTGCTGGAAGTCGCTAAACTCAACAAAGTTTTGCCCGACATGGAAAGCCAACGGAGGCCGCTGAAAACAACCGCTGACAGTAGACCGTGATGCCGTTGAGGAAATTCCGATGGTCCCCACCTTGAGAAGAACCCAGTGACTCTACAGCCTGCTAACAACCCCATGAGAAAACAGGCCTTCACCTTATAAGAAAAAAACAAAGTTGCCTAAGTTTCCAGGCACAGTTATTTCATCAGAGAATGCATAGAAACTGTGGCTGGAAGAAGACAAGGCTGAAAATGGAACACAGTATCTAGAAAATCCTTTCTTTTTCCAGTGGCTTAGGCCTTTGCATGCAGTAAAAGGATCTGTGCGTAAGTTACATAGAAAACATTTTAAGTGACATGTAAACAAGGTTAAAATAGCATGCACAGAGAAACTACATCTACTGCCATGCATCCATGCAGCAACAGAGAAAGCATCAAAGTTTGGCATGATGATCAGCCAGCCTGCACGGGGCACGCTGTACCAGATAATCCTTCTGACCATTAGAAAACAGTGCAAGATCTCAAGAACTACTTTGGGCATGGAGACCATGGATGGAAAGTCCTCTCAGCTTCCGCTAGGAGATTGTGGGTAATAATTTACACCAGTGAAAAGCAAGTATTACATATAACACTATGAATTCAGGATGCCCTGGACAAATTCGTACACATAGCAATAAAAAAAGGCATGCCCCTGTGTTAAATACTTACCGATCACCGTTTATGGTAAATGCAGGTGATCAGAAAGCACAAATGTAGGTGTTTCTCTCACATTTGCCTGCTCTACCCCTAAAGCCATAGAATCATAGAATCGTTTATGTTGGAAAAGACCTTCAAGATCATCGAGTCCAACCATCGTCCATGCCCACTAAACCATGTTCTGGAGTACCTTGTCTACTTGCTTTTTGAACATCTCCAGGGATGGTGACTCAACCACTTCCCTGGGCAGCCTATTCCAATGTCTGACAACCCTCTCAGTAAAGAATTTTTTCCTAATATCCAACCTAAACCTCCCTTGCTGCAACTTGAGGCCATTTCCTCTTGTCCTGTCTCCAGCACCATGTCATAAAGGATACCAAGAGACATTCACAATTTGATGGCAAAAGAAAAACAGCTGGCTGGATGTTTGCCTTTCTTGTTTTCAAGCTTTGCTTCATTTGCTTATGTCTTGAGCTTAGTCAAGAGCAGGTGCAGTCATCATTACACAGCTCTGCTCTTTCATTTGGTGCATTTGGTTTTTCAATCTATGCGCTTCACAATCTGCTACAGTGATTCCAGAAACTTCCAGTTCTAACACTGTCTTACTGACACATAAGCCCACTGTCTACTTCATACACTCACAGACCAACTTTTTCTGTCAAGACTGCAGGAGGAGTTCCTCACAGTGAAAGAATTTCAGTTAGGATGCTCCTCTGCATAATGTTTTTTTACCCCTGTTCCCTTTTTCCCCTCTGCCAGGAATTACTGTACAAAAAGCTCCTTTTCAGTGCTGTTGTTTCAAACACCTGTGGCTTCCCTTGATGTGGCTTGAACATGCGTATCTTTTCCCACCTGCATTTGGTGAAGTCGTTATCTAATTATTTCAGCCTTTTATGCCATGGCTACTTCTGTCATACAAATCCTTTCCTCTGCTATTCCAAAAGCTACAAAAGGTACCCGTACAAGTGTCAAATTTATTTCCAGTTTTGGAGCTGGCTGTTTCAAATCAGGGCTGAGTTTGCTTTCATAGCTTTTCCCTGACAACACGCTTGTTCTTTGGCACCTTGCGGACTCTGCTCCTGTGGCCCATTTGTTTCATCACAAACAAAATTCACTTAGCAAAACCAATAACTGCTTTTCCTTTTCTTGCAGATGGCATATATCTGCTCTTCTTGATCTGCAGAGCAGATCACTGCCACACGGAGAAGCCAGAACATTAATAGCTTCTGTCACTGCTACCATTCTTATTGCGATAGATCTTCCGGAGGATTACACAGAGGTTGTGGCCACATAAACAGAGAAAGGCAATGCTTCAGGCACAAACCTGGAGCAAACTGCACTGTGCCAGCTCTGATCAAACAAATGGACTATGTTTTGTTGAAAGCACAGAAGGCAAGGAAGACATCCCTTGAGATGGCACTCAAAAACAGAGGAAAGCTGCCCCAGTTTGTCCTGGGATAAAGTTGTCAATGTTGGGAGTTGGGGCCACATAGGTTCTTTTTTTTTTTTTTTTTTAATTATATATTTTCATCTTTATAAAACCTGGGTTCACTCATTTTGGACTTCTACCCAAAGATGAAATATTCCTCCTGCTGCTGTGCTCAACACAGTTAAGGAAATAACTTACGAAAGAATATCTATGAAAAATTTAAAAATGGTGTTAAAGCTCAACCAATGTCTGAGGGAGGGGAAATGTGCAGTGGAATCTTGCTGTGCCTCTGCTTCTCCTTCGCTGAACATTAAAGCTGAGTTTCTACAGTCATTTTTAGGACATCATGAATTAAAGATCTCTGTAGGAACATAAGACATGGTGAGAAGATGCTGCAACACGTAAGACACATTCCCGTTCTGAACAAGGACTTCCCAGACAGTGGAAGTGTGCCGGATCTGGGATTTCGGTTTGGTCTGTTATGGAGGAGAGGGCGCACTGCCAAAGTCAGAGGAATGTGCAAACAGCTAATTCCAGCTAAAGCAATATGAAGGAGAGAGGCAGAAAAACTCCCAGCACTAGATTCTGTCACCTCAGTGAATAGCAGTGCGGAGAGAGTCCCTTCGCTCCTATGGCAAGTCTCATGGATATCCATCCTGAGCAACTCTGTCAGACCGTGGGGTTTTTCAGACAAGACTGAAGCAGAGAAAAGAAAGACCAAAATCCAAGAAAGGACATAATTTAGAAGCATTGTGTGTTTTCTCAGTGCCTTAGTCCTTTTCCACTTGTCCCCAGCGGATCTGGACTGTTCTCCCTTCCGTTGCTGTTGTTAAGCTCCTCAGCTTGCTCAGCTCCTCTCTCAGCACCACTTCAGGCTTTCAGTTTCCACAGGCAATGAGTCTTACATGCATGTGCTCTCTCTCTTCCCCTCTCTTTCTCTGGGTGTTCCTGCCCCTTCCAACAGACTTTGAACCCACCAGCCAGTTTTAGCTACAGCTGATGGAGGATCAGAAATCCCAAAGCTGTTTAGGCTCCTGCCAGCCCCACGAGCCTGAGTGGCTGGAGGTAAGCACAGCAAAAGGGACGCTTGCTGCCGCTGGCAGGAGAGGCTCCAGGAGGATTTTCAGAAGTGCCTGAGTGATGGAGGGACTTAGCTGCTGTTTTCAAAGTGGTGCAGACTCCTAGGAGTCTAAATTCCTTTGACCTTCCTTGGCTCCTGTTGACAAGAGCGTTCGAGAGCAGGCTGTAAGCCTTTCAGAAACCATTGACGCTTGCAGAAACTCTCAGACTTCCTTTTCTGACTGATTGAAAGTCTGTTGCCACTAATAAATCCCCCTCCCCTCACCAATTTATGTTTTATAAGTTTGGGTTAAGCTTTGTCTACTAAAAGGATCTTACATAAAACACCGCTTATTGAAATGTGATCTTTGCACATTTCTGCAGTTTTAATTTTCCTGCGGTGTAATCTTGTTACTTAGGTCATTCATTTTGTCACGCCTTGGTATCAGTCTGGTCCAGGTTTGGCTGCAGGGCTATGTTCTCCTGACATTTAGAGCAAGAATTCCCTGGGAATCAGTCAAGAGATTTGACATTGCTGCTGGCCAAGCTCCAGCGGGTTTAGTTTTACTCTCCTCTATTGCGGAATCTGTCTGTCCACAAGCTGCACATTGAGTTCTGTGCTAGAGAAGGAGAACTGAAAGGCACAAAATGGCCATTCATTTGGGGGATTCATTCAGGCTTTTCAGAAAGGTTTTACAAGAAGCTGTGCACTTAGATGACTGCTGAGCTTCCTTAGCCCTGCTCTATTGCCTCCCTCACGAGACAATTTGGATTGACTGCTTCTTCTTTGCTCTCTCCCCCCACCTCAATAGGCAGAAATTATAGTTGGAAAAGCAAAATTAAGACTGAGATAGTATAGGGACCACCGGGAGGTTTTTCATCTCTAGAAATAGTTTAATTTCAACATGGCACAGACAGGTCCTTTGCTGGGAATATGGGGGGAAAAAAAAGGTCCTTTTTCTCCCCTCCTGCCACAAACTGCTGCAAATCCTATTGCAAAAAGCTGCCTCAGTGGCAGAGACAGCCAGGATTTGATGAACTGGAAGGGAGGAGCAGGAAAGCAGCCCTGGGCACTCATGGGAGCTACAGGAGAGTTGCGGGAAGAATCCCGGGTCAACTGGAAATGGGGGAGAGAAGTAGCTGTCTTGTATGGGGGGGGCAATGACATGCAGGGGCACAGAGCAGGGTGCAGGAGGGTCTGCATGTGCCAGGAGGGAGGGAAAAACAGCCCAACGTGCTGGTGGCCTGTGCGCTGAGGGTTGTGTAGTCTTAGCCAGTGGGGACAAAGAGGTTTGTCTAACTTTGCTAGGTGAGACACTGAAATTTGGTTAAGTGCTCACAGATTTTATCAGCCACAAAAAATGTAGTACTCCACTTCATATATCCCGCTGTGGTGTGCTCTTGAACATCCAGCCATGCTTTGCTGACTGATCTAAGTTGCTCTCCCTTACAGTCCTGCTGCTGTTTCTAAGCTCCTCACCTCCGAATGCTGAGCCTCTTC